TTTCACTTCAGCGTTCTCCTCCCACTATGTTCTACATACAAGAGAAAATAAAAAGCACTTGTTTTCCTCAGGAAGGCTCTTTTCATTTAATGTGATGTCCAGTTCCATTCATTTTCCCGCAAATGGTGTAACTTTGTTCTTCTTTATGGAAGATTAATGTTCTATTATCTATACATACCTCTGCTTCTCTGTTTCTTTCTTCCCCTTTCTTCCTTCTTCCTTCCTTCCTTCCTTCCTTCCTTCCTTCCTTTCTTTCTTTCTTTCTTTTTTTTTTTTTTTTTTTTGGAACAGGGTTTCTGTGTAGCCCTGGCTATCTTGGAACTTGCCCTGTAGACCAGGCTGGCTTTGAAGTCAGAGATCTACCTGCCTCTGCCTCCTGGGATTAAAGGTTTGACCCACCACATCTGGCTAACTTATTATTAATTATTATCATTATCATCACCATCATCAGCGTCATGTTGATGGACACATAGGCTAATTCCAAAACTTGGATTTTGTGAATAGTGTCACAATAAACCTGGGCTTGTGGGGTGTCTCTGCTGTATGTTGACTTTAATACCAATACTTTGGGCATATACCAAAGGCAGTACAGCTGAGTCATGTAGTAGCTTGCTTTTGCTTTCGAAGACTCCCTGTGTTGATTTCCATCATGGCTGTACTCTACATTTCTGCTAACACTGGACAGGGTTCCTTAGCCTCCAGCTTCTCTCCTGCATTTGTTGTTTTAGCCATGCTGGCTGGGCTGAGATAGAATCTCAATGTGGTCTTGTTTTGAGATTCACTGACCGCTACAGACTGAACATCTTTTCACGTCTATGTTTGCCACTAGTGCTTGTTTTAAGAAGTGTCTCTTCAGTTTAATGGCCCATTTATTGATCTAATTACTTGAGGATTTTGTGTGCTATTTTACTTCCTTATTTATTCTAGATATTAATCCTCTGTTACATGGAACAACTGAGAGCAAAATACTCAGTACATGCAGCCAGCTGTCTCTACAGCTGAGCAGCCCAGTAATACTCAGTACATGCAGCCAGCTGTCTCTACAGCTGAGCAGCCCAGTTGAGACAACAAACAAAAGATAACATGATTAGCATCATTTAGCAGAAATGATTGGGGAAATGCTCTGAAGAAGTTGTACTGAAGTTCCAAGTCCAGAGTTCTGGGCAGAGCAGGACCGGGATGAGCCTCTACCATCTCTTTTCCTCAGTAGGTATTTTTCCATGATAGATTAAACAACAATAACCCTGGTTAGAAACAGCTTACTTCTTAGCTGCTCTCAATAACATGAAGTTTTTAATCTTGGACTGCTTTGCTGTTCTCTCTCTCTCTGTGTTAGTGCAAGAGGTAGGGTCAGCCCAGTCTCAGCCTAAAGGTCTTTACTTGACATAAGCATACTTGGCTATGACAGAGGAGGGGGCAACCCTGCCTCCATGCCAGCTTCTCAATGAGCTTAACCAATACACAACACTTTACTAATACACAAAGTAATTACAAAGGGTTTCATGTAGCCTAGGCTAGCCTGAAGCTTAATATATAGTTTAGATCAGCCTTGAACTCTCAATCTTCCTGTCTCCCCTCCCTTGGTGCACCATAGATATGCACCACTATGTCTGGTTTTGTCTAATTGAGTTTTCTAAAGCATTTCTATGTGTTCTTAGCTGCTTGCTGAAGAGATTCCTGTAACTGTCTATGCTACCCCTCCCCTATCCCTGGCAGTCCCAAAGTGGTTAACACCTACTCTGTATGTCGGTGAGTAATTGTTTAGCCTTTTCTGTAAGACCTTCTTCCAAAGCTGTCAACCAACAAATATTTATAGCTTGTCCTTTACCATCTCCACACTCAGATATGTGAAGTAATGACTTATTTTCTGAGTGACCCACTCCTAAAACTGGAGATTCTGTTCTTTTTGTTCTGCAAAGTCAGCATCACTGGCAGGACAAATGGTGGTGGGAGAGAGAGGAAGGAATGGGAAAATCTGAAGGAGGAGTCACCAACAGGAGATGGCCATAGTGCCTCTAGCTTCAGATTTCTGAAACAGATAAAGCATTATTTTATGAAACAATGGTTATCTTATAAAATATTGTATACCTAGTATATGTTGTTTCTGTACTAAAGTCAACCTTTAAAAAATAATTTTATGTGTATCGGTGTTCTATCTACATGTATGTACACATGTGTATAGTTCCCCATGTGCATGCTTGGTGCCTTAAAGAGGCCAGAAGAATCAAACCCAGGACCCCTAAAAGGGCATCCAATCAGTGCTCTTAACTACTGAGCCATCTCTCCAACCATGACAAATTCAGTCTTCATCTTCATAAATTTGTTTGTTTGTTTGTTTTTTCTTAAATCCAGCTTTCTAAGAATCCTGCAGCTTTGCCTAGTTTATTGGTACATTGGTACATGCCTGTGAGCCTAGAACTTAAGGCTGAGATAGGAGTGATCTCATGTTTAAGACTAGCTCGGATTATGTAGCAAGACCTTCTCTCAAAACAAAACAAAACAAAACAAAAATAAAAACAAACAAACAAAAAACCAAAAAAAAAAAACTAACCTAATTCATTCCATTCTTTAAATTCTAACAACTCTACAAAGGCTAAGTACAGAGTTAATGGAAAGATAAGTGAGAAACTGAGAAACCTAAGCAGGAGACCCAGAGGCATAAGTTTAGACAAAGAGTCAGGTCCTAAGGAGAGATATATCTGGTTAGCTGCAGCTGCTGGGAATTACCGGATCCTACGACGTTCTTTTCTGCTCTAAAGGAGGTAGTGTTTCCTAGCAACTCTCCGGTTCCTGTAAACTTTTCCCTCAGAAGATAGCAACACCTGCACTTAAACCCAAAGGGTGCTCATCATTCCTCTTCCATAGCAGCTATTAATTAATGGCCAGATGTTATCCAGATGGCCAGGCCAGTGCCTTAGGGGCCTTGGCACCTAAAACAGACCAATCATTTCAAAAGTCAACCTGCCCATAAACCTCTTACCCAATCATGTGATGCCAAGACTTAGAAACCAGCTTTTTGTTTTGTTTTGTTTTGTGTTTTGTTTTTTGTTTTTTTGTTTTGTTTTGTTTTTCGAGACAGGGTTTCTCTGTGTAGTCCTGGCTGTCCTGGAACTCACTCTGTAGACCAGGCTGGCCTCGAACTCAGAAATCCGCCTGCCTCTGCCTCTCGAGTGCTGGGATTACAGGCGTGCGCCACCACCGCCCGGCTCGTGATTTTTTCCTTTAAGAACCTCTTTCCCAGTCTGGAGAGATGGCTCAGCTGTTAAGAGCACTGACTGCTCTTCCAGAGGTCCTGAGTTCAATTCTCAGAAACCACATGGTGGCTCACAACCATCTGTAATGGGGATCTGGTGCCCTCTTCTGATGTGTCCGAAGACAGTGACAGTGTATTCACATACATGAAATAAATAAATCTTAAAAAAAAAAAAAAAAAGAACCCCTTTTCCTAGACTTTGTGATCGATCTCCAGCAAGGAAGGATTGCATGCTTGAACTTGTGCTGAATAAACCCTCGGAGTCGAGTCCTGGTGGTCTTTAGAGTCTCTGAATCTGGGCATAACATACGTGCTGGCTAAGAAGTTAGTCCATGATCCAGGATCATGTAGTTCATAATACCGTGACTAACATGTTATGCTTACATTGCTTGATTGATACTTCTAGAATCATATAAAAATGTTCCTTAAAATACTGAATTTTAAACAGTAAAGTTCCTTAGGTTTGGATCAGGGATTTGTTTTGTTTCCTAAGTGCTTAATATTATTTTCCTAGAATCCATATTCCACAAAAATCAGTGGTTTACATTAAAAACAAGAAAATTGGGCAATGTAATGTGTTACTCAGCTTTCTGTTACTGTGACAAAATATACAAGATAGTCAACTCTTTTTTTTTTTTTTTTGAGGGGGATGGCATGGATTTGAGACAGGGTTTCTCTGGCTATCCTGGAGCTCTCTCTATGTAAACCAGGCTGGCCTCCAACTCAGAGATCCTTGTGGCTCTGCTTCCCAAGTGCTGAGATTAAAGGAATATGGCACCACACCCACCTAAGATAATCATCAAGGAGGAAGCTTTTGCTTAGATTCATTGAGAGATTTCCGTTTCTGTGTTGTTGGTCCCATCCCTTTGGAACTGTGGCAGCTTGGTACATCATGATGGGAGGACATCAAAAAATGCTGACTGCTCATTTTATGACATCAGTAAGCAAAGACAGAGACTAAGACTACAATCCCTGAAGTCATGACTCCAACGGCCAAACTCTTTTCTGCTAGGCACTGCTTCCATCTCCTCCTCACAGTACAACAGGCTGGTGAGCAAGCCTTTAATCATAGTCAGGGGAAAACGGAAATGCAAGTAAATGATTCTACTAGGGTGTGGGTTCACAGTGGTTGAATCTCTTTCATTGGTAAGCTTTTTAAATGAGTGAATAGAAGAAGCTACTCAGGAGACTGGTTCAGAACTGCTGAGTGACTTCCCAGAAAGACACAAAATTAACATCTGCTAATTTCTGATAGCATAAAAAGACCGAAGAATAATTCCTCATGCTGTATGAAGATGAGTTTAGGTGCTCACACACAGAACGCACTACTTTTACTAGTGGAGCGTTCCCTAGACCAGTGGTTCTCAGCCTTCCTAATGGCTACCCTTTAATACAGTTCCTCATGTAGTGGTGACCCCCAACTATAAAATTATTTTCATTTCTATTTCATAAATGTAATTTTGCTACTGTTACGAATCATAACGTAAATATCCATGTTTTCTGATGGTCTTAGGCAACTCTCAAAGGAGTCACAACCCACAGGGTGAGAACCACTGCCCTAGACCATATCAATTATAAAATTGATTTTATAATCAATCATTTATAAAATATAATTATTTATAAAATACTAGTGTCAGTTTCAATTTCCCAGGAAGCCATCCCCTGGGAAATGTCTTGTATACTAGTGGAATGCACTGCCCATCCCTGTGGCTTCAGTCTCTCCTCTTATGTCCCTGTTCTCTTGCAGTGTCCCCGTCAATCTGCGATTGTGATGCTCCCTGACATTTTATTGTGTGCCAAAGGCAACACAAACCAAACTATCGAGTAAGTATTTGTTGCTTGATACATGTGGTTCGATTTCTCCCTTAGAAAGCTAATCACACTCATGGATTCACAGAGACTATTGGGGAAAAGCTGAAAGTGGGGAGGGGGTGTGTGAAGAGGAAGTCATGAGATATCCACAATGCTTTCATTACATAACACCATTTTAAAAAATTAAAATACAGCACAAAAACAAAATAGGATACACAAGCAAGATTAAGAAGAAACCCAGAGTACGACTGGATGTTAGGGTGGGACCACAGGAGAAACGTCCTTCAGAACTGCAGAGACAAGCATTTCCTCCTCATCCAGCTCACAGACGTTACACTTCCCTGCTACTTCCAGAACCTCTCAGAGTTCAATTCCAGGTCAGGGATGAATTCCTGGACCTAGTACTGGCTAGGGTCAGCTCAGACCTGTCAGCTTCTCTTGACCTGGAAACTTCAGAAAATTGTGGAATAATGAGACCTTAAGGACATCCACAGGGAACTCTTGTGACCCTGCATCCTTCTCTTCCTATACATTTCAAGATCTGACTTTGTATCCCCAAATTTTCTCCAATCTTAGGGCTCATGTGCTTTAAGAGTCTGTGAGGCCTTTTGAAAGCCAGCTTTCTTATGATACTCCCTGTCTTCACGGTGCTCAGGTACTGTGCAGGCCCTAGACCAGGTCTGAGCACCTAGGACTATAGAGAACCAGTACTAGTAGGAAGCCTCTCTCAGCCCCATCAGCTTCCTGGTCATGTGATAACCATTCAGTCTCTGTGGGATTTTCCATGAGACCATTAAGAAGCAGCAGGTAGCTGGACTCTTGGCAGCATGTGTGTCAGGGGTGTTCTCTGTGAGAGACACAATGGAAAAACATAAGGTGCTGTGCAGAAGATAAGGCCAGCTAGCCTCTCTGTGCCCTGGCTCTGAGGAATATTCAGACGTGCATGCAGACAGCACAAAGAGGACAAAGGAAAATAGCATATATTTTCCCAGACATTTTTGCTAGATTTCTGTATTTTCCTTTCCTTGGGTATTTCTTGGTTTTTGTTTTGAAACTCTATATCTCTCTACAGGGAATTTAATTTTCCAATCAAATCACTTCAGCTTCTTATTGAGAAATGACACCTGGAACCCCTTGGAAGTCAAGCTTTACCACACTGCTAGAACCTAGTAGGACCTACCATTTGTCAATAGTCTACTTCCTGTCAAAATCTGTTAGACCTCCTTTTCCCATCCTGAAACTAGGACTATGTGCCTCCCAGAACAGAATAGAATTGTCAAAACTTTTCTCAAAGGAGAATTCTCTGGGAAATAATCTAGAAGCCTCTCTGGGGTTCCCTATTTAGAGGGTGTCAGGCATATACTTTGGCATTGTGGTTCCAGCCATAGCTAGACACAGAAACAAAGGACAGGCTCACAGGAGGCAGAGGAGATGTAAGGAAAGGGGGTTTCACTGAAGAAGATACTTTCTGGGTATAAAATGTAACTGCTCTTTAGAGATACTCTGGGGTTTTGGAAGATGAAACACTGAGGAGACAAAGAAGGGACTTTTAACCATGTTACTGGAACCCACGTTTGCATGGGCCAGGAGAGCCTTGAGTTACCACAGCGTTTCAGACAGTTTTCAAGAATGGCCCAGCTGCTTACTCACTGGGGCAATGGTTTCCACAGTGTGAGGAGGTGTAATGTTGTGTTGCTGGGTAGCTGAGGACTTCTCGTCAGAGCAGATCTGCATACCAAGCATTCTTCCCACAGAGCTGCGCCTTCTGACCGCCTCCCCAGTTATCCAATAGTGCCATGTGCCATGGAGGCTGATGCCATGGAGTCTGAAAAGCACAACTCAAGCTAAGACCATGCCTTGCACAGAGCTAGCACAGCTGAGACCAGGCCTTGCATGGAGCTAGGACAGCTGAGACCAGGCCTTGCATGGAGCTAGGACAGCTGAGACCAGGCCTTGCACGGAGCTAGCACGCTGAGACCAGGCCTTGCATGGAGCTAGCACAGCTGAGACCAGGCCTTGCATGGAGCTAGCACAGCTGAGATCAGGCCTTGCATGGAGCTAGCACAATTAGAGAAGCCAGCGCTGCAGGAGAAGCAATAGTGAGGGTGGCAAAGGGTGTGTCATGCTTGTCATAGCACTTGGGAGGCTGAAGCAGGAGGACTGCCTTAAGTTCAAGGCCAGCATGTGCTACCTAGTGAATTCGAGGCCAATCTGGTATATGTGTATGTACATGTTCATGTATATATCATGTATATGATGTACATGTATATGTACATGTGCACTCTGTACATGTGGATATGTATTGTATATATGTATATACAGAGGGATCTTTCTCAAAAAAAATCTGTATCCCATATCTAATGCATGTTCATAATTATAATCCAGTGTCAAAACTCTCATAAAAACTGTGACTGCTTTGATGAATTAACTATTTAAAAGCTGAGCTCATCACTTTTTTTCTTATTTTGAGACAGATTCTTGCTCTGTAGCTCAGGCTGCCCTTAGACTTGCTCTAACACGAGGTCCTCCTGTCTGTGCCTCCCCAATGCAGGGATTACAGGCTGAGTTCGTTGCTCTTATCACATCTTCAGTCTGAGCGTCAATCTCTGATGTCCACTTGACTGGCTAACGTGTGTTTTCTTAGAAGCATCCAAGCTACATGATGTCACAAACCTTCACATTCAGGGTGTGATTGAAATGTTACTTATTCGGCCCACGCCACAAAGTGCCATGCACATTACTCTCTGTGGTCAGAGAGGTGTTAGCCCAGCATGGGTCAGAGTTTGGCTCTGTGGGAGGAAGCTTTCATCTGTAGATCTCTCTTACTGCAGTCACACTATGTCCCACCTCCTCTCTCCGCCAACAACATTTCCATACACTCAGCATCAACAAGCAAGCAACCAAGTTATTCTTGTAATATCCTGAATCTGTGGTCCGCACCATACCCCAGAGTGTGCAGCACTAAGTCATTTCCTCCAGTCATTCTTAGCCTTTAATTCCTCCTGGTCAATAGTTGACTAGGGAACATGCCTGGAGACCCAGAACGTTGCAGGCAGAATTGAGCACCACACCTTGACTCTGTCCGCAGTCCTCTGCTGGTCCAACTCCACCCAACTCCATACACGTCTCTACAGCTCTATTTTTTTGTTGTTGTTAACAACCTCCTTACTGTAGCCCTCAGCTTAGTCTAACGGTTCTTAACCTTCCTTACGGGGCAACCCTTGAATACAGTTCTTCACGTTGTGATGACCCCCCAACCATAAAATTATTCCATTACCACCTCATAATAGTAATTTTGCTACTGTTGTGAATTATAATATAAATATCTGATATTCAGGATATCTGATGCACAACCAATGTGGGGGTTGCCATTCACAGGTTGAGAACCACTAGCTTAGTCTAATCTGATCCTTGAAGCTCTCTTCAGTTTGGTCTCTCTTCATTTTAGAGTTGTTTCTCATGCTCTTATCAGACATTTGAACCATATGTATTCCTGTTGCTTCAGATTATCTAAGAAAAAAATCAAAGAACTTCATTCCTGGTGGCTAAATGTTTGGACTAGTTTCCAAGGACTCTTATTTGACCCAGTCTCTGGGTCTGAAAAGCAATAGAAGGCTTGGGCCAGCTTTCAGTTGAGAAAACTGTAGGTTTTGCACTTACTATAGTGACACACACCTGTAATCCCAATTTGGAAGGTGGGGTGTCTTGGTTAGGGTTTCCACTGCTGTGAAGAGACATCATGACCAAGACAACTCTTATAAAAGATAACATTTAATTGGAATTGGCTTACAGATTCAGAGGTTTAGTACTTTATTATCATGGCTGGAAACATGACATGCTGTAGGCAAACATGGTGCAAGTGAAGGAGCTGAGAGTTCTACATCTTGCTCCAACTGCATCCAGGAAAGACTGTCTCTTCCAGGCAACTAGGAGGAGGGTCTCAAAGTCCACCCCCACAGTGACACACCGTCTCCAACCAGTGCTACTCCTTGGGCCAAATATATTCAAACCACCACACAGAAGCAAGAGAATAGGACATTCAAGGTTATCAAAACCGGCGTGTGTGCATGTGTATGATACATTAGATTATAGAAAAAAATGAAAGCTGAAGGGTGGAAGACCATAAGCCAGGAGGGATTTTGGAGTATGGGAGAAAGGAGAGCTAACACAAAGGGATAGTGTACAGAAACCAAAATGGTAGCCTATTACCCACAATCCAATTTAAAAACTTACTAGAGAGATGGAAGAATGTGAGTGAAATGAGAGAAGTGGGTACCAGCACGGGTTTAAAGGACTAAATGAGGATAAGGGATGGGGGAGGGGAGAGAGTAAAGGATGGGTTTAGAATCACTAAGGATGTTCAAAAAAGACTTTTGCAGACCCACCAATTAGTGTCCAATGGACCTAGCAACTTTTAGTTCACTATTTATACTGCTGAGCTAATCAGGGCTCTCTAGGGAACCACCATGTGAGCTCTAATAAAAATTGGGGAGCTGTCTCGTGTAACCATGAAGGCTGATGAACTCCAATGTTTGGGGGTAAGTTGGCAAACTGAGGGATAATGGTGAGGTTCTATTGCCATTGTTCATCACAAAGAAGAAGAGCCAACCCTCCTCAGAGTCGAGAGAGTCAACCCTTCTATTCCAACCTCAGCATCAGCTGATTGGCTGAGGCCCATCCTGTTAAGAAGAGCAATCTGTGTTAGATTTTATGAGTTTATTTTTTATTTATTTTTCAAAGATTTATTTATTTTATGTATGCGAGTACACTGTAGCTGTCTTCAGACACACCAGAAGAGGGCATCGGATCCCATTATAGATGATTGTGAGCCTCCATATGGTTGCTGGGAATGAACTCATGACTTCTGGAAGAGCAGTCAGTGCTCTTAACTGCTGAGCCATCTCTCCAGCCCAGTTCCTCAACCTAGAACTGACCTTAATACTTGCATGTAATTAAAATGGTATAAAAGCAAAAAGGAGGAGGGGGGATGGGATAGGGGGTTTCTAGGGTGGGGAAAGGGGGAAGGGGATATCATCTGAAATGTAAATAAATAAAATATCCAAAGAAGAAGAAAAG